GCGCATCGAAGCGGCAAAGTAGCGGCTGCGGCGGGCCCGGGAGGTGTTCATAGGCGGGGTGAAGGAGACAGCGTCCTCGGGGTTGCAAGCTGGTGCAAGCCCCTATGTATTCGCGAAACGGCGCGGCGAGCCGCGCATGCACTGGCGCTGGGCAGCGGCCTCGCAAGCGCCCCGCATGGGCGCCGCCGACCTGCAGCACCGCGCCGCGCCGCGCCGTCCCGCACCGCCGCCGCAGAGGACTACCGCTATGCGCTGGAGCGGGACCGGAAGCCGCAAAAGGCGCGGCGTCCCAGCCTGCGGGAGGGCCTGCTCTCAAGGGGCGCGCTGCCATCGGGGATGGGGTCCCTTACCATCTCAACAGCCAACAGCGTCACCACCAGCAGCGAGTTCGGGTCCGGCCTGGCCTCGGGGCGCGAGGATGGTGGTGAGCCGCTGGGGATGCGGCCAGCTGGGGGGGCTGGGCTGGCGTGGATGGCGGGCGAAGTGGGTGCTGCTGGTTGTGTGACTCTGTGCAAGTGACTTGCCGGCTTGGCTTGACGGAATATTTGCCGCTGGCTCAAGGCACCTGCGCCGCCCGCTTGGCTCTCCTATACTTTGAATTGTTCCCGGACCAAGACTCGGGAGCGGGCAGCCCGACGTGCAGCTCTCCAGCCGCGCTCATCAGCGGCGGGCAGCCCTTGCCCGGCGGCATCCTCAGCAGCAGCAGCAGCAGCGGCCACCCCCGGCCGCGTCCTGGGCAACAGCAGCAGCAGCAGCAGCAGCAGCAGCACCACCATCAGCAGCAGCGGCGCCCCAGCAACGGGCACGCGCGGGACGGCGGCGGCGGCGACTCCGTATTGTGGTCAAACCAGGCGTTTGACTCGGCGCGGGCAGCGCCACACGACTGCGGCAGCCCAACCTGCAGCTCGCCCCACATGTCGCGGGACGCGTCATACGCAAACTTGGCAGGGGCGACTGCGGCGCAGCTGCTACCTGGTGCGGCATCTGCAGCAGCAGCAGCAGCAGCAGCAGCAGCAGCAGCAGCGGCAGCAGCGGCAGCAGCGGCCGCGGCCGGCGGCAGCAGCGGCTTCAGCAGCGGCGCCCTGGGCCAGGTGCCACACCACCAGCAGCAGCAGCGGCAGCAGCACCAACAGCAGCAGCAGCAGCAGCAGCAGCCGCAGCAGCCGCAGCAACAGCAGCAACAGCAGCAGCAACGTGGCGTGGATCCTGCAACCAGGTAAACTTCCATGCTGTCGACGATCATGCAGCAATATCATGGCCTGACGCGCACAATCGCTCACATGGCTTATCCCCGCCTGCATCCGGGTCTGCAGCCTGCTGCCGCGATGCATGCCGCTCGTCTGACGGACTCAGCAGCCCCGCCCTGCGCTCGCACTTTGCCCCTGCCCCTGCCCCTTGCGCACGACCCCTACCCTCGTTCGCTACCTGAACCTCACTCACATAACGCCGATGCCCCAAACTCCAATCCCATGAGCCTGGATGGCTCAAAAAAGCGGGCGACAGCGGGACCCTGCAATCCTAAACCTAATCCTCGATCTCAACCTAGTCATAATCCTAAACCCAATCCTCAATCTCAACCTAGTCATCATCTCAAACCCAATCCTCAATCTCAACCTAGTCATCATCCTAATCCCTGTCCACCTGCCCGCGGCCCACCTTCCCAGGTCCAAGCTCGCGGAGCAGCACCACGCGCGCGGCTACGCGGCGCGCAAGCAGGGGCGGTTCGACGTGGCGGTGGAGGAGTACTCGCGGACGCTGGCGCTGGAGCCAGGCCACTTCAAGGCGCTCTTCAACCGCGGGTTCAGCTACGACAAGGTGGGAGGGCGGGGGAGGGGGGCGCGTGGGGGGGGTCGGAAGCGGGGCGTGAGGGAGCGACGGGGCGTGGGCGTGCAGGTTGTGTGTGTGTGTGTGTGTGTGTGCGTGTGTGCGTGTATGTGTGGGGGGAGGAGAGGTGATGTTGTGTAGCTGGGTGGCTGCATCTCAGGATTGTGTGCATCAAAGAGCGGGCCTGCGTTGGTCAAAGGGGCGCCCCAGGGATTTGGTTTAACTGGAGCTTGGCAGCAGGCGCCGGCGGCGCGCCGAGCGGGCCCCAGCAAGGGCAGGGAAAACCTCGCAGTGGTCTCGCGGCGCGCGGGGCAGGAGGGCTGGCAGCAGCCAGGCACGTGACCATGCAGCCGGGGGGGCAGCTGGTTGGCTGCGGCGCGGCAGCATCTGCCGCGCGTCCAAAGCAGCTGGCGCAGCCGGCGGCGCTCCGCCTTGCTGCTGCCCGCCCTCTTTCCTGCTCTCCACACGCACCGCTCACGCAAGCACACATCAGGCGTCAGCCCTATTCTCCCCCCCCCCCCCAAACCGCAGCTGGGCCAGTATGCCCTGGCGGTCAGCGACTACTCCGCCGCCCTGGAGCTCTGCCCCGACAACAGCTTCGCGCTGTACAACCGCGGCATCACCAAGGACCGCATGGGCGACTACCCCGGCGCCGTCGACGACTTCACGGCCGCGGCAGCGCTGGACCCGACAAACGCGGACTTTTACCACAACCGCGGCTTCTCGCTGCGCAAGCAGGGGCGGTTCGAGGCGGCGATCCTGGATTACACGCGGGCGATAGAGCTGAACCCGGGGCACTGCCGCGCGTACTACAACCGTGCGTTCAGCAGGTGCGGCCGGCTGGGGTCTGCGGGGCCCTCAAAGGAGGGGGCCGGATGCTGGAGATCGCCACGCCGAGACAGTGCCGAAACGAGTTTGTGGCTCAATAACAGTGGCTGGGTCTCGTCTGCATCATGCAGAGAACTGCATGCGTCATACAAAGACTCGCAAATGCCGACCCCGCTGTTCCTCGCTGCATCAGTTGCTGACTTGCCTCCACCTGTCAAACAGCGACAACAATTTTCTCGCCGTCCCTCCCTCCCTGCTTGCCCCACCCTACCCGACTCCTGCGAACCCCCGCCGCCACCACCACCGCCACCCAATTCGCGACTTGAGCAGGGACCGCCTGGGCCGCTGCGAGGAGGCGATAGCTGACTACACGCAGGCGCTGGAGATTGAGCCGGGCAACCCTGCTGCCCTGCACAACCGCGGCAGCCTGTACGAGCGGCTGGGAAGGTGGGCCTACACGGCGGGCTGGCTGGCGTGTGGCGGTGTGGGCGACTGCACACGGCACTGCCCGCTTTGTGCTCGTGTTTTCATCTTGCCGTGCATGCAAGTCTCCTCCGCAATCCATAATTCAAGGCACCTCATGCACGCTATATCAAGCAAACCATGTCTTGCTGCCAGCCCCTTCCTTAAACCTACTCTATCCTTGGGCGTGTTGGCGAAGCTGTGTCACAAAAGCTGCGCCCCTTGCTCTCTCTAGAAACCCGCCTCATTGCCACTCCCGCCTCAGCCCCACCTAACACTTCTCATGCCCCCCTTGCCTTGCGTCTCCTGGGCCGCTGCTCCGCGCCGCGCAGGCTGCAGGAGGCGCTGGTGGACTTTGACCAGGCCGTAGCCATGGACGCCAGCAGCGCCCTCAGCTACAGCTCGCGCGCGCTGCTGCTCGAGCGCCTGGGCCGCCCGGACCGCGCGCTGCCGGACCACGACCGCGCGCTGGCGCTGGAGCCCGCAAACAGCGCGTACCTGAAGCACCGCGGCCTGTGCTGCAGGACGCTGGGGCAGTACGCCGCCGCGATCGCGGACTTCACGCGGTGGGTGTCGCCGGGCCGCGCCATACCCCTTGGATGACGGGCTGCGGCGGAGGGCAGGGGGATGAACGGGGTGTGTGGGGTCTTGACAGGGTTTGGGGAGAGGCATTGGCACCCGGGGGCTGGGGCAGGGATATATTGGGGTCGCCGACCGGGGCCCAGGCTTCCAATCTTGTTGTTTGCTGCAGATGAAACGCGTGGGATTTTGCAGCCGTGTTCACATCAAAGCAGCAAACACCTGCCATTGATCCATTCCTTGAACAAAGCTCACAGATTATCTTAGGGTTGCAACACCACAATGTCCAACATTGCACCACAATTTTCAACATTGCAATGCTGAATATCTTAATGGTGCAACCCTCTTGTCAGGCTGATTGACCTGTTGCCTGACGACGCCTCTGGCTACAGCAACCGCGGCTACGCATACCGCAAGCTCGGCAACTACACCGCCGCCGTCGACGACTACACCGCCGCAATTGCGCGCTGCGGCAGCACCGTGCGGCTGCACAACAACCGCGCGTACTGCCTGGCCAAGCTGGGCAGCTACCAGGAGGCGATTCAGGATTACTCGTCCGTCCTGGAGATCGACGCGGCCAACGTCCACGCATTCCACAACCGTGGCATCTCGTACGACAAGCTTGGCCTGTTTGAGCAGGCCGTCGCCGACTTCAACACAGTGATTGAGATGGAGCCGACCAACAGCGTGGCGTACTTCAACCGCGGCTCCACCTTTGACTCCATGGGCGCGCACGATCAGGCGGTGGCGGACTTTGGGCGTGCCCTCGAGCTGGACCCTGGCGCCCGCACGCCTGACCCTGCGGCCGGCGACGGGGCGCAAGAGCAGCTGTAGTGGCTGTGGCTGGCAAGTTGGTGCGCGTGCAGTGTCCAAGGTGGCATGTGCTACGAGGTGCGGGGTTCCTGCTCTCCCCTTGAGCCCTGGTCTCAATCGAGGTTGCGTTGTCGTCTCAAAAAAGTGGGCGCGGGGCCGGCCAGCCTGCAGCTGGCCAACGCAACGCGCCACCACTCCCAGCCAAGTAGCCCCAGCAGCGTGTTGATGCCTCTGTCCCTTGCTGTGACGGTGCGGGTGGTGGCTTCATGGGTGCGCTAGCTTGTGCAAACCACGACACCCTAATTGCCCCAGACCGCACACAGCACCTCGCGCTAGAAGTATGCGGCCCTTTCGCCCTTTCTTAGCCAACCAGCTGGTGTTGTGGTGGAGACTCGCACGGCGCACTGCAAGCGGCCGCCACGATATCTGACTATGTGAAAGCGGGGGCAACACTGTGAATGATGGATTGTGGGGCGTCAATCGCTAAGGCAGGGATGAACTTCTGGAATGCCGCGGCGTTCTCTTAGCATTCATGTGCGCCATTGCAAGCGGGATCAGCTGCAACCCCGCTTGGCTGGGCATGCGGGGCCGGTGCCGCGCTATGCGTGGCATTGCCGCACTCAATGTGAGTGTTGGATACGTGGTGCGCGGCTGCAAAAGCAATTTAGTAGAGCACATTTTTCACCCTACTTGTGCGTGCGGTCATCCTGGGTTGGCACTTCTTTGCAAGCCGTGTAACCTTGCGCCTTTGTATGTGTGCCCATGGCGGGGCTGTGGTATGGATCTTGACATCGGGGTCATGCCTGAAGAATGCCCCGGCACAGCGGCGGACGAGTGAGCGGGCGGACCTCGGCCAGCAGGCCTGCATTGCATTGCACGTGTAGTAGGCTGAAATCTGGTGCAATGCAGCCAGTCACACTACGAAAAACACGACGGAACCCTAATCCTTGGCTTGGTGCCCAATTGGCATTTCTACCATAAGTACACCGTATCTCACTTGCTGACACTTGACACACATAGCGTCTACTGTGAGGTGCTGCTCTCCCCCGAGCTGGTGGCCTCCTGGCACGCGCTCGCAGCAGAGCGGCACCATTGTAATGCAGGCGGGCGGCCTGCAGAGTTGCCGTGGCAGCAGGGGGACCTCATTGCGTTGCTCTTGTCACAAGTGTTGAAAACAGATCATGTGCCCAGTCTACACAGAGTGCAAGAATCTGGCAGACATACAGATGCTAACGCAGCGGCGGCGCAGGGGCGGGGGGGAGGGGGGTCGCGTGCCGCGCCCCGCGCTGATGC